GTAACAATAATTGATGCAACTTATTCATTATGAGTTACTGTTATGAATTACCTCAAAGTTAGATATGAGTGGTAAATTTAACTTTTTTTAAAAACATAATATTTCATATTTTATAAAATATTATGGAAATTGAATATTATGGAAATTTGATTGTTCTATAGATCAATCATGAAATCATGAAATCAATCATATGAAATCATGAAAATTAAATGAGCCAAAATATTATTTGAAATTTTACATGAAATATACAATTACAGTGTACAATGCGTCTGTAAATAAGACCCAGATAGCCAAACCTGCGTGAACAGATTTCGAGCAGAACTTGCTAACAATTTTTGATGGCAAATAGATAACAAATTTGATGCAAGACCTGTTATATCAAATCTTGCTGCTAAACTGTCACCAGATATGTTATAGAGCCTGTTGTCAGATAATTACTACAGATTTGCAGCAAAAACCGTGCAGAGTTTGTAGCAATCTGACGGCAGATTGGCGGCAGAAACCGCGCAGACTTTGCTGCACTACAGGTTCTGCGCGGTTTTTGCTGCAAATCTGCAGCAATTGCCCGACAGCAAGTTCTGTTGCCAAAACCGTAGCTGAATGAGGATACAGATGGCTATAGTTTTGGTGTAAATTTTTAATCAAATTTGTTGCCAATTTGCGCGCAGTCTGCGCTCAATTTGCTTATGGCTCCTGCATACAGGACGCGGTAATGCTTGCCGCGCGGCGGAAGTTCGCGCGACAGCCAATCAATATGCTGCTTTCCGTAATAACCTTCTAGCTCTTACGGAAAAACAATATATTGATTGGCTGTCGCGCGGACTCCCGCCGCGCGGAAAGCATTACCGCGTCCTATGTGCAGGAGCCATTACTGAGGATAGAAGAACAAATTATAATCGTTAAAGTGTAATGTTATTATTTTCAAATAAAGCTTTATATTTATGCAGTAGAGGGGCAAAATGTTAGCAGTATGCATGCAGATTGCAGCAAATTTGATCAGAATGCAATAAAAGATTATATTCTGTGTCTACATTAAGCTTGTGTTCTATCGGGAGCGTCCCAGATGCGCACATTGACAAACGGACACAGCCAACCACAACGCCGTATGCCTAGAGATATTCTAGAGACTCTATAAACAATGACATATGATTGGATGTGTCCGTTTGTTAATGTGCGCATCTGAGACTCACTCGTTCTATCGACATAGCCTTTCTACAAGCAATGCGAGCACGTGTACATATGACAAATTCTGTTGGTAATCTGTGTCAAACTGTATCCAAAATATATGCGCATTATCTGTCACAGTTCTGGCTATAATTTGGCAGCACAATAAGATATAAAAGAATTTGTGTTGGATTTGTTGTTTTTCTGACATGAAAAATTTATGACATATGACACTCCAAATCTGTTAGAGTTTTCTCTGGGTATATACTATATATATATATATATATAATTATATGAATATTAACATGTACACTCATATTATGTTACATAACTTATAGAAATATATAATATATATATTTACATAATATTACATGTCAAAAAATATGTGACACATACATCAATGTTACTGCAATGAATCCTTTGAAATAGAGCTCATATATATAAATGATATGTTATAAGTTGCTATCATACAGCCATACTAGAACATAATATTACCATGTAATATTACATGTTACATTTATGACAATTTTGTAATATTAATTATACATATATGTCACATATATGTCATTATAATTTATTGGACGGAAACTAATTTATTATCATACTTACTTTTTAGTTTCTGCCCCACTTGAATATATTCCTGACTGATTCCTACAGATATATAATTTATGGCTGTACTCAGAGTTTGTCAATAAGCTACTATCATAAAGAAACTGTAACATAAACAAAACCTATCGTGAACATTTTGACATTATATAACAACATTATATAACAACAATATTAAATTTATATAACATTTGTTATGTAACATATTATATAACAATTATATTGCTGTTATAATGTCATTACCAGCTAACAAAACAACATAATAGGTATATAACACTATTATATTTATAAAATTATAAAATAAAGTTATATAACGTCCATGTTAATAAAATATAACAGCTGTTATGTTGTGTTACTTCTATGTTATATTGCAGTTATATTGTGTTTGCTAGGAACTGTCCGGCTTTATTTTGAAACCGATTTGTTCAACGCGCGAAGCACGACGCAACAAAGTTTCCCTATCACCCGCGGAAGTCGGAATATTATTAAATTGGCTTAGTTAATTCGTGACGCAACCTTCGTTGAGACGCAACCGCTCCTCCATTCTCTGAAGCATCTCGTCCCGCTGTCGGAGCTGCATCTCATACTCGCGTTGCTGTTGACGCTCCGCTTATAGCTGGCGGATCTTTCGCAAGGCGACCTGAAGTGCAGTAGTTTCATGGGACGGCTTACTCGAAAGAGAAGGCGGGATTGTTTCCTGAAGTCGCAACGCCGTCATTCGCGGAGCTTGTCGCAAAAGAATAACACGTGCTTTAGAAACAAGCACATTTTAATGGGAGCGGTGCACTTGGACACGGTGCATTTGGACACAGCCAATCACAGCACCGTGTGATTAGAGACATTTGTAGGGTCCCTTGGAACAGCGACTTGTGATTGGACTGTGTCCAATTGCCCCGTGTCCAACTGATATACACCCCATTTTAATAACTCACAACGATAACAAGAACTCAAAGAACGCAAGCAGTAACTCGCTATTTGTGAAATAAAATCACAGACCGTCTAGCTGTCACCGCACGAGCTTGATAGTTCAAGGAGATCCCCTTCTCCCGGCTTGTTTATAGAAACCAATCTTCCTTTTTCCTATGCGACGTCTTTCCGTTGTCGAACCGCAGCACAACGATGTTACTCAATCCATGAGTCGATCACCCCATCGGACGACGAAATCGAAAAGCGAGGACGCAACAATATTATATAAACGTTCTTAATATATATATATATATATATATATATATAAGATGTAGTAAAAAGAAATCCATTATTTTTGCATTAAATTGAAGGCTTTATTTAGCATAATTAGAATAATCCGATTTAGGTCAAATATGCACCGTTTTGTTCGATAACTTGTTGCCATTTTGAAGGTAATTCCATTATGCCTCTTTCATAGAAACTTTTGTCCCGTCTTGAGGCGAATTTTTCACTAGCAAAATCATTTACCCTAAACAGAAACAGGTGGTAATTACTTGGTACTAGGTCCGGACTATAAGGTGGATGCATAAGAACCTCCTAACCAAGCTCCCGGAGCTGGGTGTATATCAGTTGGACACGGGGCAATTGGACACAGTCCAATCACAAGTCGCTGTTCCAAGGGACCCTACAAATGTCTCTAATCACACAGTGCTGTGATTGGCTGTGTCCAAATGCACCGTGTCCAAGTGCACCGCTCCCCGTATTTTCTCTTTACTGGTGTCCATCTTTGACGCGCGCTCAAACAATACTGAGTCAAACAATCACAAAACTGTCTCAGAAGTTTTTTTAGTACGAAATCTTATCTTTCTAACGCCATCTAGCGTAAACCGATCGCACTTATACAACTCAAGATACACATTAGTAAAGCTATTTATTGGAAAAATAATGGATTTCTTTTTACTACACCGTATAAATAAATATATATATATATATATATATATATATATATATATATATATATATATATATAT